AGCCCAACAGTCCCATCACCTGCTCAACCATCAACCAAACAATCGCATCGGATACACCACGATCATCCAAGTCACCCTTCACGACCAACTCCAAGGTCCCCAATTTTTTTCCCAATGTTTCCATAAGTTAAAAGCTGAAATATCTTCGACTTCTCTACACATTTGCCGAACAGCTTTCTTTTATCTGAAAGTATACTATTTTAACTGAACATCACACTTTTCATCTACTTCACGAAGTGTTTTCTGCCTGCACATACTTTACATAGATCCACCATGTCCACCATTATTTCTTCATATTCCTCCTCATATTTAGCAGAAAAAATGGTAATTTCTTATCTACCTCAACATTATTGACAACAACAAGTTCGTTAGACATATTATCGAAATATGAGTTCCAATTCATCCTTGATCTTTGTCAGCATGGAAATAATATCAACAAAGGTGGAGATATAATATAAACACTTCCAAAGTCATAGGTATGTTATGTGTGTAATGTGTTATTTGATATGGCATATGTGTTGTATCATGTGATATGTGACACGTGTTGACAAGTGTATGATATGAAGATATATTGTGTGTTTCCAAGTCTGTTCACATTAATTTATAATGCACTGTAATGCATATTCTATTTCTTGTAAAATCTAGGCAGTGAAAGTCATCGACATCCACAAAGTAGCAATCGATCAATTGTAAACACGCCCTAAAATTAACAATATTTTCCAAACAATCAATGTCTGTCTGTCACCCCTATTGAATTGAACTGGAGTATCATATAATAGTATCATTTCAATAATTCAAAAATAATTATCAACCATTAAAAATCTTCTTGTCCCGTTTGACTTGGATTTTTAACCCCTCTCAATGTGTGAACCTTTTGTTTACTCGCCAAAGTGTCATAGTGACGACGTTTACGTTAACACTAAAATGTTCTTTTCCAGGGGAACAATCCCTTCATCATCGCTGACAAAAGTGAGGTGAGGTAAAATGGGGTTTAACGTTGCGTCCAAGATAATTGCACTTGTATAGCACGTGCATGCACGTGCGTGTGTCTGTGTGTGTGGCTGCTTGTACCAGACCGGTCTTTCCATGAGAGGCTCAGAATTTGTAAATTCATACTAATACATACTCCTCATCTACATGCATACAATGGTAATTTCATGGCTCTGCTGTTAGTGAAATAGTACAGAAATAAGACATAGAAATAAGCTAGTGATTTGTGTATACTTTCGATGAATATAATCCAGTTTATCATCCCGAGGAAGTGATAAGAGATGAGGGAGTAACGAAGAAATGAGGGAGTGATAAAGAGACGAGGAAGTGATGAAGAGGTTATATTTTGAAATAACGCAGGATGCACAAAACCCCATATACCCCGAGTGACCCTGCTACAACTTTTATTCGTTGACAACAAATATGAGGAAACTTGACAAATGTTGTTGCCAGAATTGACATTTAATATAAATCATCCTCAGAAAGAGCATACATGCAACAACCAAACTTCATCTGTCTGGCAATTTCAGAGAAGATGTTTTCAGTACAAAGATATTCAGTTTGAAAAGAAGATAACACCACAGTCGATTTGAGGGCAATAGGTGTATTTTCATCAAAGATATATTTAATCTTGAACAAATGGGCGAAAATGAAAATATAACAACCGTTTGGTAATTAATGTCTTATGAGTGAAGCATTAATGGAAATGGGGCCCAGGTGGCCCAGTCGTCTAAGACGCCTTGATCTGCTGTGAAGAGTTGCGGCCCTTGGGCACGCCAGAAACCAATGATTGTTGGTTCGAAGCCCGGTTCGCCCCGATTAGGTTTCTAGTTTTGTCAGCACCATACCCGTGCTCGTTGGTTTCACCGAAGTGATAAACGTCTGAGACCTGCATCACTTCAGGCAGGAAGTATATAACTGGAATACTGTTAAAAGCGGCGTTTAACTCACTCACTCACTCACTGATAGCTACAGAAACGTCTGAGACCTGCATGACTTCGGGCAGGAAGTATATAACTGGAATACTGTTAAAAGCGGTGTTAAAGTCACTCACTCACTCACTGATAGCTACACAAACGTCTGAGACCTGCATGACTTCAGGCAGGAAGTATATAACTGGAATACTGTTAAAAGCGGCGTTTAACTCACTCACTCACTCACTGAGAGCTACAGAAACGTCTGAGACCTGCATGACTTCGGGCAGGAAGTATATAACTGGAATACTGTTACAAGCGGCGTTAAAATCACTCACTCACTCACTGATAGCTACAGAAACGTCTGAGACCTGCATGACTTCGGGCTTTCCTCCCACATCAGATATGCCGTGCATAATTCGCAAGGACAATAATACCATGGAGAGACGTAAACGAAGGAAAGTGAAATTAAACTCCGGTTTGTTGTAACTGCCCTAAGAAAGAACCCAGTTTGCCTTATGCGGTATACACAAATATATTAAGAACACTTTGCATTGATACTGATGACTAAAAACTTACACTAAAATGTACTGAACCAAATTAAAAACTTCACAATCCTAAATTTTTTAACATTTTGACCAGGTGTCATTGTGGGCCCTTATTGTGTATTTATACAGTAATGGCCACGTATTGTCTTCAGATAACACCCGTTTTTGTGCAGGTGAAACGATCAAAATCATGTGCACAGCACTATAGTGGCAAAAGTGTTATTTCACGGGAAACTGGCCATAATACAGCACGTGTTTTCAGCCATACTTGTTAGCAGTCATTAACTAAACAAAAAAAAACACAATAAAACTAAAGTATTTAAGGCCATTTGCATGCCACGCCTTTCGTCCACCATAACCATCTGCCAAATATGTAGCGGAAAACATGGTCCAGGGGACTGAAGGGCAACTTCTGTTTGGTCAGTAGTGTATCTCACATGATTGGTCACTTTATGATAGGACGCGACTGCAGGAGTACACTTACTCGTGAAAACTACGACAGATGACTCGGGTTCTTTTGCAGTGAAGGAGGTATTGGGTGGTGTATGTTGGAGTACAAACTAGGTGAGTTATTTCTCTTTTCCAAATATATAAACATGTTGGATTAACATAATATGAATATTAACACCCTCGACAGAAATCAGTTATACAAGTCCATGAATTTGTGAAAAATCGCCTCAGTTTATGATTTGCAAGTTATTGTTGAAACAGCACTTTATGACCTCTACAACTCAGACACATTCCCGACGGACAAAAAGCTTGGAATAACGACACAGCCTATGGACATTTATGAAACTCAGGAGATGAACATACACATATAAGATCGATTACAACAAATACTGGGGAGAAAGTCTTAGTCACCCATTACAACACACACTGATGAGAAAGTCTTTGTCATCCATTACAACAAATACTGATGAGAAAGTCTTAGTCACCCATTACAACAAATACTGATGAGAAAGTCTTTGTCACCCATTACAACAAATACTGATGAGAAAGTTTCAGTCATCTATTACAACAAACACTGATGAGAAAGTCTTAGTCACCCATTACAACAAATACTGATGAGAAAGTCTTTGTCACCCATTACAACAAATACTGATGAGAAAGTTTCAGTCATCTATTACAACAAACACTGATGAGAAAGTCTTAGTCACCCATTACAACAAATACTGATGAGAAAGTCTTAGTCACCCATTACAACAAACACTGATGAAAAAGGCTAATATCTCATTTTATCTATCTATTTATTGCAACCAGCACTGTCACAGTGCAATATCAGCAGCGACACGGACACCAACGCCCTGGAACGTGGCACTCTGACAGTAGACATCCGAAACTACTACTGTTCTCAACAAGCTGGATTTACACTGACTACTGGTGCCGTTACAGATATACTCCTGGAGAACCAGACAATGGACAATATCACTGACGTTGTCTTAGCCCAGCCCTTGACGGTCACAGCTGATCACTTCGGAGAGACGTCACCGTCACATTTATGTGTGACAGCATCACCAGACCTCTTATCTGTGCCGGGGTTGACAAGTTGAGTGGTGAGTGTTTATATGTATCTATACACTGAGTACAATAAGATAAGCTCCAATTCTCACAATTTTCATGTAACCCAAGCATGCTCGTCTCTATTTTCTTCGTCTTCCCGGAAATAAGGATGCGGCAGCGTCATAATATATGACGTTAACAGATGGCACCCTGCCTGGCGCTCGGCATAAATAGGCTGAAACACGAACTGGTTGTTTCTTTGTTGTTTTACGCCGCACTCAGCAATATTCCAGCTTTATGACGGTGGTCTGTTAATAATCGAGGCAATCCAGTGATTGACATCATGAACATAGATTCACGCATTTGGGATCGATGACATGCTTCAACCAACTCAGCGAGTCTGACAACTCTATCCGTAAGTTGCCTCTTACCACAATGCCGAAATCTTGAATGCGAAGTTAAATCCCGCTTTACATCACTTAACAGAACAAAGCCTTTTGGCAACATGAATACATATTTCTTTATTACCATTGTCTGTATATTTGTTAATGTTTTCGTGACCGATTTACTTGACTTTCCCAGCAATATTATGGCGGCTTCCCGCATTGTATCCATATGGGGAATCGAACCTTGAAATGGGCGTTACCAGCGAATACATTAACCAGTAACTTGTTTGCCTGGTCCAAGCTCAGTCTATCGTTAATACCTCACAGTTCACCAAGGAGCTAATCTACCGGGAATGCATACGGTGCTTGAGGTAGTATGTCACGGCTTGGATACACTCTACATTCCTCCATCACTCGTGAATACATCAGTAAATCAGCCTGAAGAATAGCTAATAGGCTATATTAGAAAACTATTCCACTCAATCTCTTTATCACTATTAATTATGTTGTTCAATCATTCATGACTGACAGTTTCATTTTTAGATGGTACAACGTCCATCCCCAACAGACCGACGTCCACGCCCAACAGACCGACGTCCACGTCCAACAGACCGACGTCCACGCCCAGCAAACCGACGTCCACGCCCAAGAGACCGACGTCCATGCCCAGCAGACCGACGTCCACGCCCAGCAGACCGACGTTCACGCCCAGCAGACCGACGTCCATGCCCAACAGACCGACGTCCACCCCCAACAGACCGACGTCCACTCCCAACAGAGCGACGTCCACGCCCAGCAGACCGACGTCCAAGCCCAGCAGACCGACGTCCACGCCCAGCAGACCGACGTCCACGCCCAACAGACCGACGTCCACGCCCAGCAGACCGACGTCCACGCCCAACAGACCGACGTCCACGCCCAACAGATCGACGTCCACGCCCAGCAGACCGACGTCCACCCCCAACAGACCGACGTCCACGCCCAACAGACCGACGTCCACGCCCAGCAGACCGACGTCCACGCCCAACAGACCGACGTCCACGCCCAGCAGACCGACGTCCACCCCCAACAGACCGACGTCCACCCCCAACAGACCGACGTCCACTCCCAACAGAGCGACGTCCACGCCCAGCAGACCGACGTCCAAGCCCAGCAGACCGACGTCCACGCCCAGCAGACCGACGTCCACGCCCAACAGACCGACGTCCACGCCCAGCAGACCGACGTCCACGCCCAACAGACCGACGTCCACGCCCAACAGATCGACGTCCACGCCAAACAGACCGACGTCCACGCCCAGCAGACCGACGTCCACGCCCAACAGACCGACGTCCACGCCCAGCGACCGACGTCCACGCCCAACAGACCGACGTCCACGCCCAACAGACCGACGTCCACGCCCAACAGACCGACGTCCACGCCATATAAGCCATATTCAGCGAATCAAAATGTAAGTATGTTGTTTGAGAAGGGAGTTGTTCTCGTACATACTAAAACTGCATGAATATGCCGCTTTGTCTGGGATGAAGCTGTCATGAAGAACACTATGTCATAACTTACCGTGAGATAGCGACAGTGGTAGCGCCTCGTTCAAATGTATTTCAGCTGTATCGAGCTGTGTCATGTTAACTTGATGTTTGTTCGTTTACCGTCGCTGATATCTCCAGGGGCGGTCGAGTAGCCTAGTGGTTGAAGCGTTCGGTCATCACGGGTGGGTACACGACATGGGTACAATGTTTGAAGACCATTTCTGGTGTCCCCCGTCGTAATATCACTGGAATATTGCTAATAGCGGCGTAAAACCATACACACTCATTCATATCTCCAACTCAAAACGGAGTATTTGCTTGGAATGCTTTTAAGTTCGAAAGCCAAGTAGTGCGAAACTCAAAAGTTTGGTTTCTTTTAAATCGAAATTTCACCTTCTTGAAATAAACTAGAAATAATGAAACTAATTACAATTACGAGAAGCTAATCAAATGTCGAAATATCGAGAAAATAGTTGAAATAATAAAACAGTTTGATGATAGAAACAAAAACTGGCACCAAAGTATGTCATAATTTACAGTAAGATAGCGACAGCGGTAGCGTCGCGTTCAAATGTTTTTCACCTGTAGCAAGCTGTGTTCGTTAACCGTCACTTGGTATTTGCTTGGAAGGCTATTTGGTATGAAAGCCTCGTCGTGCGAAAGCCCAATCAAGTTGTTGTTTTGTAAATAGAAATTTCGCGTTCTTGAAATAAAACTGAAAAACGAAAAACTAATTGCAGTTACGAGAAACCAATCGAAGTACCGAGAGAAAATAATTGAAATAACAAGAAATTTTGATTATAACCAAAAAAAGAACTGGCACCAAAGTGGCACCATGAGGCTTTCGTAATTTGGGGCTCATAAGGAAGCTGTATAATTATAACAGAAAGGGGGCATATGACACTGGATAATAGAGGGTGATGTGAACTAGATATGTTTGTTTGATCAAGCATCACAAAGGGACAAGGTGCAGTTGTGTCTGTTTGTTAACACAGCTGTCAGTAATATTCCACCTCTATCAAGGAGGGGACAGCCTGGCTGTATTCGTTTGTTCACACTGCATTCGGCAATATTCAAGCTGTATTAAACAGGGGGCATGGTGTGGCTACATGTATGTTCGTTTGTTTACACCGTATTCCAACTCTATCAAATCTTTAAATAATCAGAGAGTGAAAACATATGCTATGCCATCGGGGTGCGATGAAACGCAATCAGCCAAGTCAATCCACACCCATATATAGTCACCTCCAACCTTTTTTGTTTAACGCCGCACTCAGCAATATTCAAACTATACGGCGGCGGTCTGTAAATATTCGAGTCTGGACCAGACAATCCAGTCGTTGATATCATGAGCATCGATCCACGCAATTGGGATCGATGATATGCATCTACCAAGTCAGCGAGCCTGACCACCCGATCCCGTTAGTCGCCTCTTACAAGCACCCACCCCTCACTACCATGATTAAGCTGCTGGTAGCCTGTTCTAACAAGTTTGAAGTACATGTGAGCTCTACGGTTATCAAGGAGTTTCAATGAGCAGGTTTGGGGGGAGCGCACCTGCTGTAAATAAGTTAGGGCAGGATAAATATGTATTCTACCACGAATTTAGAATTCATATTCATAGAATAGTACTATTTTCAGTCATTGTCGGTGGGCATATTCAAATAATTATATCTACAATTACAGGTTATAAAATGGACGGATGCGGTTACTACAACATTCAAAGGATGTGTGGCAATACATTTCGTGCAGAAAAACACGACAGAAATCAACAAAGGGAATGTATTTAGGTTTTGCAGACAACAGAGAGCTTGGAATTTTGGCGCTTTTCTATATACGACTGTGACGTCATATCTTTTGCCTCACAATGAGCGATATGACGTCATAATGGTGACGCGCGATGTAGAGCGAAAGCCTTGCCAAGCTTGCTTTGTTTTCTTTAGGGATGCCCACCTCATGTTAGCTTACCGAGTTGCCGTGCTTATATGCTTTCAATGTCTGTCATATGTTCGAGTGAAGTATTACCGTGTACACAAACTGCTTGAATATATACAGCACCATATTTTTTTCGGTGATGCCGTAATTCAGATCGATAACCCAGTCAAAACACTGAACTCAACCCATACCGCTTCACTCAGTATATTTGCTAACACCAAAGAGTTCGCGTTTTATTTAGTCATGGTAAAATGGAGATAAACATACTGTGTGCGCTAAATTTAACATTTGAAACCTCACGCTGCACGTTCGGTTTCAAATTCAATTTAGTGGCGTTAAATCTACAGGTAACCTAGCTCTACATTGAAAACACAGTATGTTTATCTCCTATTTGATATGCCGCGTGTCTAAGGTGAAGTTGAGGAAAAACTATTGCAAAATATTATTTATATATAGGAAGCTAACGGGTCTTTGAAATGTACTTAAACTTTATGAATGCATTCACCTTCATGTGGAAGAGTGTGAGTGAGTGAGTTTGGTTTAACGCCGCTTTTAACAGTATTCCAGTTATATCGCGGCGTGTCAGCTTAATGTGGAAGGAAAGCCCGAGGTGATGCAGGTCTCAGACGTTAACCACTTCGGTGAAACCCACGAGTACGGGTATGGTGCTGACAAACCTAGAAACATAATCGGGGCGAACCGGGATTCGAACCCCCATCATAGGTTTCTGGCATGCCCCAGGGACGCAACTCTGCACAGCGAGTCGCGGCGCCTTAGACGACTGGGCCACCCGTGCCCCCTCATGTGGAAGAGAAGCCCGAAGTGAATCAGTTCTTTCCTTATACCAATGATCATTATTGTGGCTGGGCGGAGACATCGCGTTAGTTAATTCCATTTCGGATGCTAAAAAGCGATAATACGAAACGAGAACGCGAGAGCATGGGGCAAACAAAACCAAACCACAAAGCTCATTATTTTTTTAAAAAGTATATTCAACCTCAATAAAAAATCTCGACCTAAATATAGCGATTTTTTCTCTCGGTCAACATAGATCACACATATGACGCTGACCACTGAAAAAACATAATCTGAGAGGATCTGGAATCCATTGCCATAATCTTTGGATCATGGTAGGGGACAAAACGCAGCACAGCCAATCGCGGCGCCTTTCGTGACTGTAGGACCCTATGCCCCTTACAGGACATTGTTTGTATGTTTATTGTTTACCGCCACACTTAAAATATCATAACTATGTGACGAAAACCTGTCAAACTAGGGATTGACAGCATGAGGAACGTCCGATGCCTGTCGAGATACGATCACACACAATCAACCAAGTCAGTGAGTCTGACCACCCGCTCCATTCAGTAGCCTATTTCGACAAATATGTAGCCTTGTCACCACAGTATTTTACAATCTACTTGTTCTAAATATGGTCATCACTTCGACTTTTCTCCTTGAATGTTTTTTTATTTCTTCGTCGATTCCGCAGTATTGATGCAATGCCGCGTACGGGGCACCAGGTAAGGGTTTAACTCGATATGTTGAAGTCAATTGCTGGTGATCCACGGGACCGACTACCTCTCGCTCTTCTTGGTCTAATTCTGTGAGTTTCCACCTCATTTCTGAACATGCTCATGCCCAACATACTTCACCTGCTTTTTGTATACGACTGAGCTCATCGGCCCATGCTTCAACAGCTTGAGTCGAGGCTTGACAAAGAAGCGTCTTAAATTAACTCAAACGAATAAAGCTGATGCTTTTTTCTCGAAGACGAGACACTCACCCAAATCCCTTTCTTCCTCTCCTTTCTCATTGCTTCTTCAAGCCTTTGTCCACATGGACAGGGCATGTTTCCTGTATAGTATATACTACCGACAAAAATATAGCAACTCATGATTTAAATGTAGCTATGGTTAAGGTGTACATTTTCAAAACCGTGGCGTTGCATCTAAACACAACATCTAAGCACAATGAAATTTCGAATTATTGGTACAAGAGAGTTGAGGTGAGGTGAGGTGAGGTGAGGTGAGGTGAGGTGAGGTGAGGTGAGGTGATTTGAGGTGAGGTGAGGCCGCCTGAAAGATTGGGGTGGACTAGGCAAAAGCAGGGACGGGCTGCACGCAAGTGGTTCCAACTCGGATAGAAGAACACGCTGTTTGGGAAGTAGCAGTATGAATGGTACGGGCTGGTTGTGTCATGGTGTGGGGCGGTGTCACATATGATAAAGGAACAGATTTGTGTTTTTTGGAACTGGACATTTGACCGACCATCGAGATGTTGACGACATTTTGCAAGGTAGACAATTTTTTATGTATAACAATACTGTGAAAAGCGTCGTTTCGGTATAGATCCTTATACCGTTGTCAAGCAAGACTGAATGAGGGACTAGGTACAGAATATATATAGTAGGTGGAGGATTAACAGTAACAACAATTACATATATGAGTGGGATAACATAGATACGGTGTTGACAACAAGGGGGTAATACTGTTTAAGATACCATATAAGACATTTTGCAACGCAACCTGTCGTTGTCCTTTTCTCAAGAATTTTCGTCAGAACTGCAAGATCGTGCACAGTTCGTCACCGATTATCTACGACTAGAAGGCATTCGGTCATTGGACTGGCCAGCTAAGTCCCCTGGGATAGAGCATCTGTGGAATGTTCTCAAGTCGGGACTGAAGGACAGAGACCAAGCACCTATCAACGTGGCCCAGCTTGGGGTAGCTCTTCAGGCGGAATGGAGGGCAATACCAAGGGCGACTGTACGCAAGTTAATCAACAGTATGCCATCAAGGTGTCGTGCAAGTACCGCCCAACATGGTGGACACGCCAGATATTGATCTACACGCCCGAAATTATTTTTAGACATTTATCGTCATTACACCTTCACTATCATTTCATCAGTTCCCCTATATTTTGTAGGGAGTCAACTGAATACAAGTTATCTTTTTGGACGCACGTTGTTGTTTTTTGTGGTATTCATGTCAAAATTCATCTTCAGAGGGTCGCACAAAACATAACATGAAAGCAAAATAAACTTAAAAATGCAACTGATAAAGCCAGTGGATAAAAACGATATCCATTGGCTTCATGTGCGGATAGTAATGAAAATATCAAAGGTCAAGTAGGAACTTTCAGCGATCGAATCACAATTAACCATCGTGATGCCGGATATACTACTGGGATAATTGCTATAATTATCAAAGGAAGAGTCTGATATCCTGAATAACAGTGTCTTACTCAGACTATCTGTGGCTTGTAACACGTTTTGGGAACTTTGGAGATATAAATTGCGAAACAGTTGGGCGAGAACACTAGCCTAGCGCCAGCAGCATGATCAGTTTCAATACCTTTCCTTGCAGACCTCTACGGCTTGAAACATTTCCCCCACATTAACACAGTTGGATTTGGCCGAAATATGTATGAAATGCTACCTTGTTTTGTTTAATTGATGTGTGTTCATCTGACTGCACTTCGTAACGATATGACAGGACGTGCAGACTCTAAACAAACGTTGCACTTCATAGACTAGGGTTGGATCAACTTCCCTTTGATAAAGGGCAGTTATTCTGGCGGACAGACCAGTGGATTCCCACGAAAGGAAAAGAGAAACAATTTGTGAAGGCAATTGTTGATTTGCCTTTTTGTTGTTACGCTACTGTAAAAGAAACAGGTTTCAGATGGAACTACATTGATTGTCGTCGCTGTCCGACGGACACGTCACTAACCTCCTGACGTACTATATAGTATTGCGCACATTCCAGGAAAACGTTCAATGTTCCGGTAATGTTTGTGAGAGATGGGAAGAGAGTTTTCGAGGACAGAATTGAAGAATGACATTATACGAGAAAGAGGTTATCAAGCCTGTGTGTCAGGCGATGGTAAATGTCCTGTATTAGGAATACACACTGTGTATTTAGCTCGGCAAGGATAGAAGATACAATGTTTATTCCAAATACAGAATATTATTAGCATTAATATCTCCAAACACACTCGCGTGAAAATCTCTATTTATTACTCAACCGTGAAGAGAAACCCGTTGACTAATAACACAGGTTTAGTAAACAGCGTTTTATTACGTCACGTACCACGGGACCATGTTTTACATCAGGTGGTCGTCGGAAGCACTGTACAACTGGAATCTGCAAGACCTGCCCTACTCCTAAACGGGCAATCTACTCCCGATCGACATAACTCTTTTTCACTAGACACGAGAGATGCGTACTGAGAAAGTGACTGTGGTCCCTTCTAGTGACACGAGTGTGGTCACACAACTATTCTTGAAGAGGCCTTGTTTATTTTCCTCATTAGCTTGCTATACACATTTCTGTCCATGACCCTCAGCGTCAATCTGTCAAATAGTCATGCCAAAGTCAGATGTGATCTTGGCATTGCAGCAATGCCATGAACAGCGAAAATTCCATAGAGCTGACTTTTTCCTTTTGGCCTCTTGAAGAACTGATTTTGTTTCTCGCCTGAAATATACAAATACATATGTTCGGTAAATAAGCACATGTTTGATAAATTATGATGTGAATAGACCTTGATGGATACAATAATGGTATATCTGAGGAATCTAAATGTGCCTGTGACTGGCAATTTGGGCAAACACTTTGTTTATTTGCTTTATTTAAACCAGTGAGTGAGTTAAAATTTTAAGTCACATTGGCAATGCTTCAGCCATATCGTCACTATCAAGGTAGTGAGTGAGTAAATTGGGTCTAACTCCGCTTTTAACAGTATTCCAGTTATAACGTGCCGTGTCTGCTTAATGTGGGAGGAAAGGATGCAGGTTGCAGACGATCTTGTTGGTGCCAGTATGGTGGTTTCTATATAAGTGCAGGGCCAGCAGCATGGTAGCTGTGGTGGGATCTCTATGGGATAGACGAGTGCACTGCTTGGCCCCGTGATTTGGTTTTAAAGTGAGTGAGTTTGGTTTAACGCCCCTTTTAACAGTATTCCAGTTATATCCCAGCGTGTCAGTTAAATGTGTGAGGAAAGGCTGAAGTGATGCAGGTCTCAGACGTTTACCACTTCGGAGAAACCCATGGTATGGCGCTGACAAACCTAGAAACATAATCGGAGCGAACCTGGATTCGAACCCACAATCTAAGGTTTGTGGCGTGTCCAAGGGATTCAACTCTGAACAGCGAATAATGACGCTTTAGACGATTGGGCTAAAACGCAAAGACTGTTATTATAATGTTCAATCCAAACAGAAGACATTTGAGATATAATGTCAAAGATTAAATATCCTTGTGTTTGTAAACTTAGCATAAACTTTGGGAAATGGAACAGCTGAACACATAATTTACCTGGCATGTCTGCAAGTTGCTCTTGCAGCTTACTGGCGTTGTTGAAATGGGGATCGTGTGTTTCAGCTTTTGGGAACCTAATGTTTTTTGGATACTGTCGCAAAATGACATCTGTAGATGATGTCTGGGGCGATGGTGGTGCAGAAGAAGGCGTCTCCATGCTGGCAGTGATTAAAGAAGAGGCGATTGATAACAATGAGGCTGACGATTGAAATTGAATAAAAAGTCTTGATGACAGCTGCCTCCATTTTATTTGCAGCCATGCTTCAAAATGGCGTCTTCGACAAAAGGATATAATGTGATTCACTTTTTTTATTGAATATTTCAAATTATGTTTCACATTGTACACGTGATTATCTGTATATGTGTTAACTTTATTAAGACATATTTGTTTTTCATTTCTATATACAGTTTCTTGTTAATGGGTGCCTGGGTGATCGAAATACATAGTCTACCATAGAATCAGAATAGTGCAGGGCATTTTGATATCACTTGATAACTGAAAGAAGATCGGTCTGCTTCATTTTGACATTTGACTGATCAACAGGAGATCTGCTTTATCTAGACATTTGACATCACTGTTGTTTGTCCACCTGGGGTTGTATAAGATGTCACAATGATGGACCAGACAATCCTGTGATTGACATCATGAGCATCAATCCACGCAATTTGGACCGATGACATGCATCAACCAAGTGCTGACCATCAGCCTGACCACCCGATCCCGTTAGTCGCCTCTTTCGACAAGCATAGTCGGCTCTTACGACAAGCATGGGTTGCTGAACACCTATTCTATACCGAATCTTCATGGGTTAAATGTCCATTTGGAGAAGTGAGATACGTATAATACTCAATCGATTAATAGATGAAATTAAACGCTTAAGTTAGTTCGTAAACGTTCAAGTTATGAAATGCAAATATCTTTCAACAGATGTATTTTTATCAAATATTCATTTATTCTTGAACTAATAGGTGAAAACGCAAATATGTCTGCTGTTTGGGAATCATGTCGATTGTTTGAAGCATTAATGGAAATGATCATAAACAAACAGTAAATGAGGGAACGTAAGGCAGAAAAAGATAGACAGTATTTCATATATTTCTTACAGCGTATCTGGTAAAATCATGATATACATGATACCATTTACATAGCAAGAACGAAGCCCAGATCCCATGGTCCAATACTCTCATAGTCTATACGACTTGTGTCTGTAGCTCACTATAGGAACAACATAAGAATTCTTGACAATAGCATTGAACCATTAAGTAGTCTTGCTATAGTTTTGTTCTACCAGTGTGGGAGCATTCAACATTATGCTGCCACCGCCAAATCTGTCGACCTACATATGCAGCTGTCAGCAATACATGCATGTCAACATTGGTACACCCTGGTTCTCCGTTTATCTCGCCACATTATTATCCAGCATTGTATTGTCACAGAACCAAACTGTTTTCTTTCACTTTATACACTCACTCACTCACTCACTCACTCACTCACTCACTCACTCACTCAGTCACTCACTCACTCACTCACTCACTCACTCACTCACTCTGAGCTCTGAGCTCGGCCAAATGAACAGCAGCACACCACGTTGTACAGGACCGAAGGGTCACTTATTTATAGACGACAATGAACGTCACACGAGGAGTTATTTTATGACAGCAACTCCCTGTTGACTGCACTTCCTCGTGAGGTTGACCACAGTGTAGAGATGTCGGATTGTTTATGTTGGAGTACACAATTTGTGAGTTATTTATTTTTATCTAATATACAAATATGTTTGATCAATATAATATGTTCTAAAAGAAAATCGACGGGCATCAGTCATACAAGTTTCTGAATTTGAGAAGGTAACGTTATCAGCACTTAGCTAACTCTACAAGTAAGAAAGCATTCACTAAGAATAAACTACTCACTGTATAGACTGTACATCTGGCTAAAATATGTTGTGGAAGGAACCATTGATTTAAACAGAGAAAATGTTTTGTTTGGATTTCAAGGCAAACACAACAAGCCATTGAATATTGTACTTTCAATAACAAAACAAGTAATATACAGACAATGCAGGAATTAATTAGCTAATCATTCATTTCCAAAAGTACCTACATGCCACGAGGGTAAATTGGATGGCATAACACAAGGTTTCACTGATCACCACATCTGGTTTCAACAAGTCAGCTAGAGAAGTTGACAGGTGTAAGAGAAAGTTCGGAAACAGAAAAATCTGAGAAATTTGCTGTGGTTGTGTACCTGCCCAAATAGGGCTTTTAACCAAAGGAAGATATGGAGATATAAGAGTGAGTGAGTATGGTTTTACGCCGATTTTAGCAATATTCTAGCAATATCACGGTGGCGGACACCAGAAATGGGCTCCACACATTGTACCCACGTCATCTGCGTGACGAGCCAAAGCTTTAACAACTATGCTACCCGACCGCGCCGGCGATATAAGAAGGCACGCAAAGGGATGACCATCCTACATTTTGCAAGGTGTCCGTCATGTTGACACTGGATTAGAAGGTGACCCAACGAAACAAATCCAGGGACTTTGTGACCTTTTTCATGCGAATTGTGATCAAGAATAAGACATCAGTATATCACGAGCAAACAGTGGAAATATGTGGCCCCAATCCCACCAAAACTGTGTACAAGCTGGTGATGTCAGTTGACAACTGACGAGCAAAAACTAGCAACATGGGATACATCGTCAGAGAATAAAGTCAAAGAAAAACGCAAAGGAGAGCTCTGATCATATTATGCTCTACTGGTAAAGAACAATGTGCATGTGCACATACGTGGCAATGGTTTCAGTAGCAAATTGTGTCTTTGCGTTTCCACCACATGCACCGCCGCTGACTTTTTATCAATTTATCTAAACTCAAATTACACCTCATTATTATCCCTATGTTTCAAATTTGATATGGAGAACATATGTCATGATGATTTCACTCACTCTATACCATTGCTTACGTGATATAAAGACCAGTGTTAACGTAATAAAAAGACCTTTGTGACGTAATGAAAATATCAGCGTTAACGTGACAAGGACAGGAGTTGACGTAATGTCAACGTATTTGAAATGCAATGTCACAGCCTGTCACTGTCATCGTATTTGTAATGCAGTCGCACAGTCTGTCATTGTCAACGTATTTGTAATGCAATGTCACAGCCTGTCATTGTCATCGTATTTGTAATGCAATGTCACAGCCTGTCATTGTCAACGTATTTGTAATGCAATGTCACAGCCTTTCATTGTCAACGTATTTGGAATGCAATGTCACAGCCTATCATTGTTAACGTATTTGTGATGCAATGTCACAGCCTGTCATTGTCAACGTATTTGTAATGCAATGTCACAGCCTATCATTGTCAACGTATTTGGAATGCAATGTCACAGCCTATCATTGTTAACGTATTTGTGATGCAATGTCACAGCCTGTCATTGTCAACGTATTTGTGATGCAATGTCACAGCCTGTCACTGTCATCATATGTGTGATGCAATGTCACAGCCTATCATTGTTAATGTATTTGTGATGCAATGTCACAGCCTGTCACTGTCATCATATGTGTGATGCAATGTCACAGCCTATCATTGTTAACGTATTTGTGATGCAATGTCACAGCCTGTCACTGTCATCATATGTGTGATGCAATGTCACAGCCTATCATTGTTAACGTATTTGTGATGCAATGTCACAGCCTGTCACTGTCATCATATGTGTGATGCAATGTCACAGCCTATCATTGTTAACGTATTTGTGATGCAATGTCACAGCCTGTCACTGTCATCATATGTGTGATGCAATGCCACAGCCTATCATTGTTAACGTATTTGTGATGCAATGTCACAGCTTATCATTGTTAACGTAATTATGTCCCATTTAGCGTTTACAAATTATCTCTTCACAACAGCTGCAATAAGTGTTTATGATAAGGAGATTTATACATCCAGGTGAGTACTCACACGCAAATCTTGTTTGAGTTCATGCAATAAAAAAATTATGTGCCTTACATTTAGTCATGTATTTACGTCTGTGCATATGCCATAATATCATATCGAGATTGATACTGGTATCTAAGACATGGGTTTTAAATAAATTGACAAAACCATATAAATACTACTGAGCTACTCCGGGACTTACATTCCACCAAGAAAAACATTGACCCAGTTCAAGTAAATATACAACGCCAGAAAATAACCAGAATATCCTATTACTAAAAGCCTCGGTACATCTAAAGTCAAACAAACAAACTACAACTATTTCAACAACTACAGCACGCTCCAAAGTAAACGGAGCAATCGGGTAGCCTGTTGGTTAAAGTGTTTGCTCGTCACGCCGAAGATTCCAATCATAGGTACAATGTGTGAAGCCCATTTCTGGGGTCCCCCCGTCAACTGGAATACTTGAACGAGGGTCACAATACAATACAACACTACAAAGTTTAGTTGGTTGGTTGGTTTGTTGTTTAACTCCGCTCTCAGCAATATTCCAGCTGTATGGCGGCGGTCTGTAACTAATAAAATCTGGCCAAGACAATCCAGTGATTAATATCATGAGCATCAATCCACGCATTGGGATCGATGACATGCATCAACCAAGTCATCGAGCCTGACTACCCGATCCTGTTGGTCGCTTTTTACGACAAGCATAGTCGCCTTTGACGACAAGCATGGGTTGCTGAAGACCTATTCTACCCCAGCCAGTCACGGGTCTACTAGGTTTAGATTCATAAAGGTAATGCAGGGACTGGCAATCACAGGCAGGGAATTGATTTCAACAGGGACAGCAACCTGCACCCAAGGCGTGTGAACTTAGCAATGATAAGAAGGGAAGTTGGCGTGTAAAACTGTTAATTCGTGATTTATAATACGTTTCACTTCAGACAGGTGCTTGATAAAACTGTGAGTCACTTCAAGCGTCCTCGTTACGAATCTCTATGTTGCTGTTGCATTTAACCTAGAGTACGTGCCATGTTATAGCTTGTATATCACTGACTAAACCATTGTTTCTTTGTTTGGTCATTGATCTAATGACCATAGTAATCTAAATTTAACGCATTTTCGTGTTGCTTCTGACACCCCTATTTTTATTGAGGCAAACGTTGGAGTAAATATTCCAGAACTTGTTCCTCGTAAAGCTGACATGTATTTATTAATTAATGTTAGTCATAACAACAATTAGAGGACAGACTGACCATCTCGACAAAAGGATATTTTAAGCTGTTAGAAACACAAGTTTACTTTTAAACAAACAAATAGTGGATAAGGCACATAATTTATAGAGAATCTCACCCGAGTGTCTTACAAGGTCAAATATATCAAGAGAAGTTGATTTATGTACAATATTCGAGGCTAGTCAGAGGTGGTGATATGTTTGAGTTTGGAGCAAACAAGGATGCACGTAAGATTATACACATCTGGTGTGCAAAAAACATTTATGGCTATTTTAGAACGATCAAACAATGGATAAGCAATTCATTTATTTAACTGTCTATTTGGTTAATTTGCATGGAGACGAAAAAGCTGGTTATGGTTGAATAATTTCTTGGCCAGTGTAACCATGTTGTTTACCAGTCAGCCACTTGCCCACATACATTGTTGGAATCATAGGTTGGAATCCCGGTTCACCCTGATTAAGCTCCCAGATTTGTCAGCGTCATACTCATGGTCGTCCATCTCAAGCCGTCTTATAGTTGAAACACTCTTCACAGCAGTGTTCAACCGAACTCACTCACTCACTCATTTCATTTTTCAGTGGATGTCTCAATGACAATGATGCATAGAAGAAATCTAATCCTGGTTCTGCTTAACCTTGCGGTGTGCTTTACTCATGGTAAGCACAGTTTATATGTATTCCTTCACAATGATCAGATGGTGAGTAGGTTCAATACCGCATGAGCAGTAGTTTTGTAAGAGCATGGTAGCAAATTCGGTGCAAGTCTCTGATTCGAAAATATGAATGGTTTATTTTTTGTTTACATGAAACAACATTCACTCACTCACTCTTGAGTTTTCCATTCCATTAGAAGCCCTTGTAGATACCACATGCTGTTATTGTTCAGTTCTCGATAAAATGTTGGTATTAATGATATTCATAATTAGCTTACTTATTTACTTTTTGCTACGAATACGGGACTGCCAAAGTACTTAATAAAACTATCCACGTATTGGTATTCACCCTTACGAATCAACTGTGTTTAATTACCATCCCCAAACACTCGCGTGATAACCTCTATTTATCATTCAATGTCTATTTATATAATAATAACTATCTTTTTCACTTTGCAATATGGCTGGAATACTGCCCTTGCGATGTAAAATTTGAACACACTCACTCAATTTGAATATTGCTGACTGTGACATTAAACCACCCGGACGTGTTTTGTATTTAACCTGTATGTCTGTGTGATGAAGAATGCTATTGTGAAACTTGTTTTCGAGCAGATGGAATCCTTGTGCGGAGAAGTTACTCTGTTTGAAGTGATTGTACGGCTGTATTGTAAATTGGATTGTTAGCATCACGTTATAAATTTTGACACATGAATCTCATTCACGTTTAATATGTTCTATACATAGTTCGTCTGTTAGCCGTTGATATAGCAACGTGCATGCACACGTGTGTGTGGCTGATTGTACTAGTCCGGACTGATCCCGATTTATAGTGCTCGAAACCATGCCGGAGTTTAACATGAATACCCCATTCAGACACAGTATACTGACTCCGAGCCGACCAGTCCTAGTTTCAGGGTAACAACAAGGGTAACAACAAGTACCATCTTTTAACGTATTTTGATATGACGGAGCCTGGGATCGAACCCCGGACCTTGCGCTCTCCTGGCGGACGCTCTACCACTAGACCATGGAGGCGGTCAGTTGGCGAATGAGGAAGATGGATCAGTAAAACATACCACTGTAATATCAACAGATGCCTCCATCACAGCTCGTTGCTTTAAACGCCGAGGGTGGAGAACAATATATGTCCTAATCCACGTTCAAATACATCAAAATGCTTCATCTGCTCCACAACATTGAGGCTAAAGTCGACGATTTCATATGTGTTCTCACAAGTTTGTTATTTTTACAAGCGTATTGCTTGCACATAATTGCTATTTTATATTCAATCACTGTATTTAAGATGACTACAGGTATTTTGTCATTTCAAAGTTCATGGTATCTATTACAATGTGTTTTTGTGTTGACATTCATTGTTTTCATGAATTGATACTATTATTGTCCACGAAAGGGTAGCCAGCTGTTCGATGTGGTAACCTTACTCTTTCACTGTTCTTTGTCGACAGGCATTTAACAATAACTAACTTGTTCTCATCGCGATCTGGCTGTAATATTACCGATTCGATGTCAAATCTCGTTTTGATATGTTTTTTTTATGTGTGAGGTCTCCTTCTTTCCTTCATTAAGGCCGCACTCCAACAGATAAATCGGCCAGACAATCCAGTGACCGTTATTGCGTACAACGATCCATGCTATCGGGAAACGATGACACGCTATCAACCAAGTCACCGTGCCTGACAACCTTTTCTATCCCGGAACCCCGTGGTATATGCGATGTATATATTGTGAGATTAACAGTAGCCCCGACAACAGCAGTAGTAGCGATAACAGTACAACTCTCTTCCACGTTACAGCACTGACGGACACAGACTGCCCTGGGGGAGTGGCTCTTCTTGGAACAGAATACAAAATAGAAGGTGACAGAAGCAACTATACAGGCTTTGTATGGGCACGACCAACTGATAACCGGTATGTCGTCACCTGCAACCCCAGCTGCAGCCCTGTGGCTGGGTACAGTGCAACCATGAACGACACACACTCTACACTCACTATACACAGTGTTGGGGTGGCAGATGCTGGTACATGGAAGATCGTGGATGCGAATTTAGTGGGTGCCATCCCTGTCGACGTGTGTCAACTGACGACAGCTGGTGAGTATAAAATCATGGAAGTCCGGAAAATATTTGTTGAATTAATGGATATCGTGAACCCAAGTCACTGAGATGAATCAAGCAATATAAACTCACAAATAAAAAGGATAATGCAAACGTTTTAGTACTTTTCCCCGCCAAGGACAAATATGGCCTTGTTATAATCTCTAAAGTATTAAACTATTTACACGACCTCTTAATTCAGGTCTTGATGGGAGCGGTGTCTTTATTACCCAAGATGTAACACAGTTAGAGATGTTATGAAGTTATCAACAACCACGGAACTGTGTGTACCTTGAGGCTTGGGAAACATACAGGCTTACCCTTGTTGCTTAAGGTCATCACTTACTTGCCATCATAAATATAGGGAAGGAATGACTGGAATGTAGCTATCATTGATGTGCATACGTACATTACCGTGGGCGATGCATCTGAATGCATCATCTAATCACAATTAAATTTCACATCATGCGTGAAGAGCGTGTGATGCACGTGCACACAGAAGCGCACAAAGCGTGTGCGCTAATAGGGGAGCTCAAATCACTAATGCAATTGAGCTAACACGCTCTTAGAATATTCAAAGTACACGTATATATTATTATAATCGAAAATATTTGGCAAATCAAAAAGTGTATTTCCTCGCCTGAAGGACAAGTACCATCAAACGGCCTTCAATGCGACACCACGAAAAATCGTCTTATCACATTAATAACACTACACAATAGATTCAAATCTGTTCTTGTCATAGATAGATAATTCCGTACAATAACAGGAAGGCGAATATCAGCATCTTCCGTCAACATCCCCGGCGCTCTCTAGTAGTTTCATGATGTGGGGCGGTATCACACATGACAAGCAAACTGATTTGGTTACAAAATTGTTAATGGACATTTGACTGGCCAACGGAATTTTGCGTCCTCTCGTTGCTACATTCGTAAGATTTATCGGCAGAAAATTTGAAATGTCAGACCACATTGTGTCCAGGTCTCCGATATACCCCAAGAGACAGAATACGGACATTGGATTGACAGAGCATTTTAGGATGTTCTTTGGCAGAGAGACGCAGCACCTGCGTTTGTAGAATATCTGCGGCTTGCAAGACCAAGGACAGCCATATCCAAATTAATCAACAGCATTGCTCAACATTGTGAAAACACGAGATACTGATCTCCATGCCCGAAATTCATTTTTACACACATTTATCGTCATTACACCTTGACCATTATTTCATCATATTGTTTGTTAGAGGTATGGATATTAGTGTGTTTTCGTTTCTCATATGTCTTACATGTATGTTGGGAATAAAAATTGAAGAGCTTAGAGCTAAAAGGGACCAAAATAGTATCTATGAGTTCTTGTCTACCTGTAGAAAAAAATATTGCATGTTTTCATTGATGCGTTTTTGAAATATAGCTACTTAAAATTCTATAAAAGGGCCAAAGTCAAGTTTCAAAAGTCACTTTGTTAGATTTTGGCCCTTTTAGCTCTCATTTCCGTGTGTGGTTGAGACTGGTTGTCTGAGAGAGATTTTGAAAGTTTGGAACCTCATTTTCATATTACAACTATTTCAACAAAGTTGGCATAAGTTTAAATCATTAATGTACTTCAATAGCATGCTTTTTTACTTTTAGTAGTAGTTTATCAATCTCATGCAAATGCCTGAGGGTAAAAAAGGGTCAAGATACAGACACTGGCCTTTCATCCCTCACACAAATTAAAAACATAAGTTTATTTCCCTTTTTGAATCTTTTTTTATAACATGTATATGTCTGTTGTCAGAATACGTTAATTTCTAGCAATTTATCGGTGAAAAAAGAGTTAATTAACGTGCATAGTATTATGTGTTTTCATCACTTTTTTAAAACAGACTCCACATGACATTGGCCCTTATGGCTCTAAAATCTTCAATTGTATTCGTGATCAATGGATGCTGTTATTATACGACCCACTCCCATTAAAAACATGTCAGTTTTGTGTTGTTAAAGCTCTTTCTTCACATTATCCTGCCACCAGGGGTCCCACAATGTGGCATCAGCAGTGACGAGGACACCGACTCCCTGGAACCTGGAGCACAGCTGACTTTAACAGTGGACATCACAGGCTACTACTGTTCTCGGGAGGCGGGCTTTGATCTGACCACTGGTGCTGTGACTGAAGAGTTGACCACGAAACACAATGTCAGTGCTGTATCAGACGTAACCCTTAACACAACCTTCAGCGTAGATATCACCCGATTCGGTGATGTGACGTTGGACTTCATATGTGACAGAAGTTGGACTCTTACTTGTAACGGTGTTCAGAAGCTACTGAAAAGTGGGTAGAAAAGTCCTTTTAATGTACAACAAGAAAGATCTGAGTGAGCGAGTTTTGTTTAAAGCTTCTTTTAACAATATACCAGTTATATCATTGCGTAACAGCCTGGTATGGAAGGAAATCGTGAAGTGACACAAGTCAGTTATACCGTACATCACGCATTATTTCTGAGTCAGCGAGTTTGCCTTTACACCTTGTTTAAGTGTGAGCCGCTTACCAATTGGGTGCAACCTGCGAGCACGGGTGTGGTACCAACAAACCACTGATCACAAGAGACTTATCTGGGATTCAAACCATTGATCTTCGAATCCTACCAAAGCTAGGGGAAGAAATCTTGTTTTGCAAGTTACACATGGCCAGGCCAGGCAGCACAATATATATATATCTCTAATAACGAACTACTAAGGATAATTATGTTTCATATTTATACACTGATTGCATAACATCTCATTTCATGTTATTTGAACCAATATTTGTGTGTGCATTGTCAAAGTATTTTGTTCTTTCTACTTTTATACATGATCCTCAGGAAACTAATATCTCATTTCATCTATCTATTTGTTTCAACCAGCACCGCCACAGTGCAACATCAGCAGTGACACGAACACCAACGCATTGGAACCTGGCACTAATCTCACTCTGACAGCTGACATCCAGAACTACTACTGTTCTCAACAAGCTGGATTTACACTGACTACTGGTGTCGTTTCAAATATACTCCTGGAGAACCAGACAATGGACAATCACTGCAAACACGAAAACGTCGTTTTTTTCCGTATATGGTCATTGGACGGAAAAACGACGTTATTTGGACGTTTTCAAACCATCGTTTTTCCGTCCAAATAACGTCGTTATTTGACATCGGTATTTACTGGGCGAGAACGATACCGTTAAGCTCCTCCCTTTCTTGATTGACATTGTCAATCAAGCAACAGCGTCTACCGGTATTTCTACTTCTCAGATTTCATTGGTCAGTCCTCGCGTGTTAGTTTACAGGCCCACGTTTGACGCTGCACTCGAAGCGCTTAGCGGAAGTGCTGAAATCAATCGTTCTGCGCATGCGGATTACTTAATGCCTTGACCAAATTTTCCGTTCTGTGCATGCACGATTTCGCGTATTGTTTCCTAGATTTAATGTCACCACTATTTGACAATGGTTCACAAACACAGTCACGTGAAGGTTCGGAATCGTAACGAGTAACTCCATTTAAATTGAAGAGGATCCCCAGTGATATGGGAGATTCCAAGATGAAACTATTCTATGGCTATCTAGGCTGCCACCCAACCCGATCTAAACGGGACCCGATAGCTTATTGTATGCTATATAGTCATATGGAAAAGGACAAGAACTATACATTGTATTCCGGCCGATTGTTCTTGCAGTCAGGAAAATGGACTTAAAAGAGGAGTTGTTGAATGTAATTATTTTAATTATTAAATGTTTCCTATACACTAATCTGGACGAACTTCTCATTGTTCTGTTTATGTCTTCCTATATACTATTAGTATGTTACCGTTCTAAAGTCAACCTCTCACATAACATTATATTGTTCATAGTATCAAATTTTAATCAACAATATCAAGAGCAGCGATTTAAACCACTGAAACACCCAAACACAAGGCTGTTATCAAGCGCTAGTGCAGACGTGATGCATCGTAAAAACTGTATCGTGATGTCTTCAGAAATACAATTATACTACGAGATAGTACGGCTAACGCTGACTCACCGTTCGAACGAAGACAATATCGCTAATACAGATATAACGTATTTGAATGTTAATACTAAAGACTAACAATCATTATTTTTGCAGTGACGATATAACACTTATACACGTTTATTGGTAACTGTCATCAGTTTTGCTCTTCATTTTAATAACTTTGTTTTCACATATATATGTAGCAATACCCGACAAGCATGTCATACATAATTATGGGGCAGTTTTCAATCTTGTACTGACTTACTCTGGTGTTAATGAGCGATGTTTATTGGCTTGTGTGTAAAACCCCGATTTTCTGGTAATCCTATTATTACTTAGTTTTTTTTCTATCTAATTACACCCTGTTCTCTGGATCATGGCTCCGTGACTATCCATAACAATTAAGATGAACATTCAGTTCAAGTAAATGAATGAGTTTGTTTTGACGCTACAGTCAGTCAAAAAACCAATGCTGTGAGGTTTGATAACACACTTCTACCAGGTCGAACATCGTGGATCCTCATTTTCCGCCTAAAGAGAATCATAGTTCATATGCTAATCCATTTGCGAATACCCTCCCACTCAAGATGACCTTACTTGTTGCTAAATCTATCATCTATACCCCCAATCTCACCCCCACGCCACGCCCCCCACGCCCCAACCACGCACGCAAAAACGCACACACACACACACACACACACACACACACACACACACACAAAAGCAAACACGCGCGCACACGCACACATACACACACACACAAAAGCAAACACGCACACACACACGCGCGCACGCGCGCGCGCACACACACACACACACACACACACACACACACACACACACACACACACACACACACACACACACACACACACAAATGACGAACCTAAATAACCTGGACAGGAAATACTGCTGATAGCCTCTAGTCAACTCAGCCGCGCCACCGCAGAATGTTCGTCCAACTCTGCAGGGGGCATTCTCAGTGGCTTCAAACGCGCTGAAATGTTTTCGCCTTGCATCCAAGATGGTGGACAAGTGAAATCGTATGAAATCTGGCTATTTTAGGTCCTATCTCTTTTTTGATTACCCAATAAAGTCAATTCATAGTTACACGGTTGTGAAGAAGCTTACAACTTTATAAGACTTATTCATCTCATTCCAATAGAGCTACTCACATTAAGTTGTAGTTATTATGTCACTGTTTTATTTCTTTAAAAATATATTACATGTTCAACATAACAATTAAGATGAACATTCAATTTCCGATATAAGTAAATGAATAAGTGTGTTTTACGCCACAATCAGTCAAAGACCAACGTTGTCCGGTCTGATGACACACAATCTACCAGGCAGCACATTGTGTACACCCTATCCCCATTGAAGTCTCCACTGTGGGTATTCCTGGGGACGAAAAGGCCCCATGTACCTAGGAATTTCATCAATACATTCATGCGCGGCATTCTCATATGATCATATCGTTAACATGCTAATCCAACTCGAACTACCATCCCGCTCAAGATGAATGTTTTATGTAACACCCAACAGGCCCACATTTACGCACGCACGCACGCACGCGCACACACACATTTGGATTTACCAATCCCTGAATTGAGAAGACGTGCGTTACGAAGCTCCTCCAAGTCATCATCAATATCCGTATATGTCTGTGATATCATTACCCATCCAAAGCCGAATATACATTTATTGTGCTTTCTTGAAAACAAATGTTATAATTGGGATAACACTTTCTGAGTAAAGTACAGATTCTCGTACTCTCTTGGGTTGAGTCCCGTCTGGGATTTGAACCCACACTGTGAGTGAGGCACCCAATCGCCAGAACACAAAGTTGGCGATCTTACCCAGCCACCGAACCAAAAATGTTAGTCCAGATGACGTATACTTTGTGTACTTCTCTGACAAGAGAGAAAAATGGCACGGCTTCTATGGCCGAAAGCTTTGAACCAACAATGCCTTTAAGAAAGTGGTCAACAGTAACACACATTATATTTGGATACCACTTTCTAAGTAAACTACATATTTTTAGGGTGGAGATAATAGACGTTGGTGGTTGATTATCAATGGACAAATTAAAGCCAAAACTTAACTTATGAATGATTGGTAATGGGAAATGGACAATGGGCAAACGGGAGGCGGGTAAATCAGCGCCAGTTATCTGTTGGCTTCCCTTGTTGCGTTCCCTTCTTTGCTATCTTTTTACTTTTGTTGTTCTTACAGGTACAAATATATGTTCTCTGCCTCATAGCATTTCACCACCTGATGAAGAAGAAAGATATATTCCGAAACGCAGTGTTCCTCCGTTGACATCCATAAATATTTTTCCTTGTGTGTATCAGTTCTTAATGCCCTTCAAAGACCCAATCTAGCTTTGTTTTTAAATGTGGTGATATTTGCGTAGAATATGATATGGTCATGCCTATATACATTTGGGTCTTTGTCTACATAAGCATTTATACATACAATTTAGAGTTAAGGACATTGCTAATTCTGCAGGAATGAAGTACACGTCATAGCAAGCTGTGATCTTTATTCATAATTTAGATATTCGTAATGGAGATCTGTAACTGAAGTTTACCGTAATCTTCCGCAACTCTCACCTCCTGACCAGTTGAACGTCTCAGTGCATTCAGATACCATTGTAAAAATCCAGGCTGCCCCTCTTTCTGGGATGTTTTGACGGATGAAATCTATTGCGTTATAATAATCTATGTTTGCTGTTATATAATATGTACATGTTGTAAAATATTATTGATATTTTAAACGTGTAATTCGATGCATATGCAATGCAATGTGAACATAAGTGCGGATGCACGAAGGCGGTTATAGTCATAGTTATACTGCGATGGATGTAGGGGAATGGTAGGGGGGTGTATGTATGTATGAAAGCACGAATACCGATACATGAGGGCGGATATAGTTATAGTTCGATGGATGTTGGGGAATGGTGGGAGGATGGATTATGTATGAAAGCATGCGCATGGATCCATGATGGCTGACGTGGACATAATGGTGGGGAAAGAAGAATGTGATGTGTGTGTCTGTGTGTGCGTGCGTGCATGCGTGTATGCGTTGTGATACTAGGGTTGGCGAACATGTTGTCAGATGATTGTGTGAGTAAGTTAAGTGGTTGAGGATGTGGCAGGTATGAATATTGATACATGCAGACTTGGGGTTGGGAGATTGGGTGTGCCTGTACTGAGGTCTTTTGTTTCACTCACTTATAGTGTTTTCTTTCACTCAAATACTGTTTTACGCATTTTAATGACTGAAACTGTAGTGACTCAAAGGGCATACTGGCCGGGCATTCAACATATCTACCCCAACTACATACGTAGCCATTTTTATTGTGTACAATTCTTCTTCTACCTCACACACACACACACACTCACACTCACACTCACACTCACTCACTCACTCACTCACTCACTCACTCACTCACTCACACTCACTCACTCACTCACTCACTCACTCACTCACTCACTCACTTACTCACTCACTCACTCACACACACACACACACACACTCACTCAAACACACACAAACTCAAACACACACACACGCATTAATTGTTTTATTAAATGTATCTTCGATAGTCAGTAAGAAACTAGAAATAACTGCCTTTGTTCTGTAAACCTCACCAAGTTTCAGCTTTCGCCTCTTCCTTTGTTGACTGAGGTTTCACATTTGTAAAATGATCTCTCTTATCTGTCTGTACCATCAACTTAACTGCCCTCACCCCCTGCAGTTTTCCCGTCCCATATTGCCAAGCAGGTGACCCACAAGGAGGAATACCGCCCTCCCTCAGTCCAGTGATACTGTGCCTAGCAGAATATGTTGGGGATACGTAGCCTTGCTGTGGGCAAACATTTTATAACAATTTGGCAAACTTTAAGATGTAAACAGCAAATATAATTCAGTTTTATTTCAACAAAAACGGAAAAAAAATCGGATCCTACTTATTTTGTGGATACCATAACAATAAATCAAGCCAATAGATCGTTTGAGCTGGCATGAATATAAAAAAATAATTAGCAAGTCGATAGTCATAATTCCCTCTGTTGGTCCCACGTGAAATGTTCTTCATGAATAGAATAGATGGCTGATAGACGTTCGACCGAATAATATCATTTGCTAACTTCAACTGTTCATCTAATTTCCATGAATGTATGTTACATAGTTCATATGTTCATGGGCTTCTTCACTGAATGTAAAGTGTAGAGGACTACTTCACTTGAGGATAAGTAACACAAATAATGATGATAATTATGATAGTATTGCCATTATTATTCCTTCAGATTATTAAAAAAAAAGTTATTATGTTTTCATAGAGAGAAAGAGGTATGGAGATTGTGAGATTATTT